AGTCCCGCATTGCCCAGGACTGCAGTGGGGGCTCCATACAAACTACCTGAGACATATAGCTTAAACAACTAAGGATCTCAGCCTCAGTTATTTTCAGGAAGTTGACTTGTTCTGTGAAAGCAAACAGTACAAAGAAAGTAGAATCCTGTCTAGCATTTACTTCCTGTGGACATCTTAGATTTCTTTAATTTATTTTCTTATTTGCCATTTTACAAAGGAAAGAGCTTGTACCTGATTCTAGAAGAAACTAGACTATAGGATTTGTAACAAGCTGGAGGAGGTGATTTGCACCATGTTATTTGAGATAGTGATGGAATGAGATGACTTAAGCTTGGCCATGTGGATTGGTATAAGGCAAATCAATTTGCTTTTAGTTATTAATCTCATCTCTCAAGCAATCAGAAACCCAGAATGAGAGTTTATTTCAAGTTGCATTAGCTACAGATTATTTTACCCAGTATCCTGACTTCAGTGAGCTATAGTCCTTTGAGGAAAGAGGCCTCTTCAAAGGACTTCAGCTCACTGATGAAAGTATTGGAGACTGGGAGACTTAATTAAAGCTGACATTTAAGGATGTGTGCAAGGCAATCTTTCCAAAGACAATATAAGTAGAAAGGGAAAAAAAGACTTATTTTTTTTAATCTGATGGTCCCCAGCAAAGGGCAATCTAAATTAAACACAACATCATGGCAAAGTTCCATGTGGAATCTTGGGGTTGGTTGTTCTATGGATGACCTGCCCTTTATCAGTTCTACCCAGATTACCTCTCTCCTGTTTTTCTCTTTCAACTCAATTTCTCTAATACTTGCTGAGTGTCCAATAACTATTATTGATTTCTTAATCATATTTAATTATGTCTCTACACTATTCCTCATAGTGCCAATAGTAACTATTTGCAACGTTCTTGAGCAGTTACTCCAATGTTGTGCCTGCAGAACTTTTATTTCTACTTCAGTGAAAATATAGGTGTTCTCATTTTTCACGCCCTTTACCTCCAAATCCATCTACAGATAATTATTATTATTTATGGCAAAAGCACAAGCAAATTATTTTCATAACTTTTAAAAACAGCTAATTTTCTTTTAAACCATTAGAATAATCTATTAAACCTAAAAAGCAAAATATAAATAATAATTAACAATGGATAGTTTTAATAAAATGTATTTAAATAAAATTAGAATTCATTTCTTTTAAAGTTTAATTAGATTACAGTATATAAAATAAATGCTAGTTTCAACATCCATCTAGTCGATAAGGAAGTTAATCAATGTTACTCTTTATGCAGATTCAATCTAGGATAAATGTATGCAATTTATAAGTAATGTTGTTTAATATTACAAAGTGTTCCAGCCATCATGAGCAACTATAGTGAATGCTATGCTGATTCATGAGTACCCTGAGGAACCACAAATGAGTACGTAAGAGATGCAAGAAAACAGATCCTCAACATCCTTGGGAAACAGCATTTCTTTATGTACAAATCTATTGCCTCCATGCTGAGAGGACAGATGGGGCTAGCTAATTAATTTTTTCCTTCTCTTCCCTGAAACCCTTCCACCCTCGACCCCAATTCCAAATCAGAGTCATATGAAGTCAATTAAGAAGTATGGAACCAAAAAATATAAAAATGAAAAGTGTTAATGCTGCCAAGGACATGGAAAAAAGGGAACCCTTGTACACTGTTGGTAGGAGTGTAAAATAGTATAGCCACCATGGAGAACAGTATAGAGGTTCTTCAAAAACCTAAAACCTGAGCTACTATAAGATCATATTTATTTATTTTTCTATACTATTCCTCACAGTGCCAATAGTAACTATCTGAAACATTCTTGAGCAGTTAATCCAACGTTGTGCCTGCAGACCTTTTATTTCTACTTCAGTAAAAATATAGGCGTTCTCATTTTTCATCCCCTTTGCCTCCAAATCCATCTACAGATAATTATTATTATTTATGGAGTCTGGGGAAAAAACACAAGCAAATTATTTTCATATAA